TTGACTACACCTCTGGTATAAAACCAGAGGACTGCTACTATTGTAGCACCCCTATAACTAATTTCCCTACTTCAAATGAAAGATTATGGCTTAATACATGTTTTAATCCCTTAACTTAATTTCATGTTCCACTTTAGTCCCTTAACTAAAAAATGTTATAAGTTAGTCCCTTAACTTCACTTTTATTACACTGTTTGGTCTCTTATGTCAATTTATGGCAAAAAAAATATTAAGTTATGGTGACGTGGATATACAACAAGGCTCAAGTTCCAAATTTGAGTCAATATTTGTACTATAAAGTGAGGTTTCCACTTAAGTTTCTCTGAAGGTGAACAATGTTAATCTTAGAAACTTAAGTAGAAACTCTACTTTATAGTACAAATGTTGAGTCACATTTGGACCTTGAGTCTTGTTTTACATCCACGTCACCATAAATTAACAATTTTTTTCTCCAGAATTTGACGAAAGGCATCAAATAGAGTAACTGAAGTCTAGCTAAGGGACTAACTTGTAATGTTTTTTAGTTAAGGGAATAAAGTGAAACATTAAATTAATTTAAAGGACTTGGGGACTAAATATGCCAAAGATTATTGTGTTAGATTTCTAACGCAACTGACAGTACCTCAAATAAACTTACATAAATCATGTTACACATGAAATAAGATGGTCAATTCCCTTTTATGTCTATCTGCAATTTTCTCCATTTTCTCTCTATTGAACAGATTCAAAAACTCGCATATTTTGCCTATTTGAGTTCTAATCACCTCGATACAAGTTAAACAATGTAAACAAATTAACTCCACAGTCTTTACAGGATTGATAGGGTCACATCATAACCCATCTCTAAATAACTCAAGGATATTACTCTAAGTTAATCAATATTTAACTCTATTAGCTTGACAACCTTAAACAAGTAATAATATGACTCAAAATAAACTCTAAAGAGTCAACTACCTTCATCTCCAACTCTAAACCTGTCAAGAACTCTAAATAAAAATATGACTTTAAACTCATCAACAGGACAACAAAGGGTCACTGAACTCAAAGTTAATCAAAAACTCTCCATTTGGGATTTTTCGTGGCTATTTCAATTATCGCTCAAAAACACAGATCAACCACAGAAAAACTATACACCATAATCCAATTATTACCAGTTTTCCTAAAGGGGCAATCACGGATTATTATACAATAATAAGACATTCAACAGGGATTCAAACAACAAAAATTATACAATTTCATAATATATTCATGAGAATAAGGGAAAACCTATCAATCGATGCCTAAAAGGGTTTTTCCCAAACCCTTTTTGGCCACATACACAACAATCACAAATACAAAAGGATAAGAAGAAGATATGAGGGTAAGGATCCCTCACTATCCGACTACCTAAACACCCATATGTGAAGAGTTTCCCCCTCTTAACTCGAAATTGTCAATCGATGAAAATCTTTGGCCTTTTGGGATTTTTCTTCACTCTCTAAGTTCTTCCTAGATCTGTATCTCTACCTCTTTTTCAACTTTTTCACGTACTGTTCAAAAATCCTCTCACTTTATCTATTTATCCTAACCTAATATTCCAAATACTCCTCTCACCCCTCAACTCTTTTCACACCCTTATTAAACCTCTATTTCTATTAATTTATTTTTAATTCAAGTAATACTCTAAATTAATTAAAATAATAATTGTCTAATTATCCTAATAACTCAATTATCTCAGTTAAAATAATAATTCTATTATTCTCACTAAATCTCACTATACCCTTAGCTCTTTACTCAAAACACCTCTTTCTCTCTAATTTTAAATACAATTCTATTTTCTCCCAACTCTAAAATATCTCTTATTTTCTTAATATTTCTAATATATAATTAAATTAAATCAAATTAAATAAATTAATATATATTCAATTAAAATTAGATAACTAAAGTTGGGGTGTTATTTAAAGTTCATCTCATTTGTTTATCTGCGTGATAAGAGACAATCCAAGTCCATAAATAAGGTAATACTAAGCACAATAAAGAAAAAAATTGATGATGCCAAAGGCATATTAGTTGAATAATTTCATGAGGTTTTATGGTCATATCACACTAACTTCTTCCACCATCAAGAAAATGTTATTTCCAATGATCTACAACATCGACGTCATGTTACCAGTTAATATTGACACACCTACTTGGAGGTGCACATAGATTAAGGAAATGGAAAATGAGAGAGAGCTAGGTGTTCAATTGATCTAGTTGACAAAACAAAGGAGACCACCCACATTAGAAAATTCACCATAAAAAACAGTACTGGTAAAAGATACAATTCGAAGTTGGTCCCAAGAAAAGTATAAGAAGGTGGCCTTGTACTTAGAAAAATGGTCGCACCTACTCAAATGGGAAATTTTCTATCTAACTAGAAAGGTATGTTTTGATATACTCAAAGCTATCACACGGCGCCTATAAACACGAAGAGTTGGATGAAAGACTTATTATTAGAAGCTAGAACTCAATTAATTCGAGATATTATTATAGTTAATTAATTAATATTTTATGTTGAATAAGGTGAACGCCTTGGTCCACCAATATATGAATCTTCTTAAATATTTAGTTCAAAATATCAAAGGTAGAGTCTCACTCTTTTCCCATTTAAGGGAAGTGTTTTTTTATGAGGTGCACAAATTTCTTTACTTTCTGATGTCGTACCAATCATGCATTGGACCTCCATCAAAGAATATTTGTCACCTAGGTGCCACCCTCATAGGTTTAGGCAGATTAGGATCCAAGTTTTCTCTCTCTCTCATGATACTTGTATAAGGAATGACAGATTGCTAACACTATACTAAAGGGAAAAATATGTCCCCATAATTTGAAGAAGAACCAGTCTTACCCTGTTCCCACGTCTTCACTAGAAAACTAGAAGAAAAATATTTCTTTGCTTCTAACCCAACTCATAAAGACTAATATAAATATCTCTATCTCAGAAGGCAAAAAAGAGGATCAACCAATTCTAAAAAATCATAACATATACACATGGGCGGATCCATATGAAGGCATATTATGGCTATAGCCACATCAAATTTTTCTACTTCAGTTTTTCTTATTTTATATATATATATATATATATATATATATATATATATATATATATATATATATATATATATATATATATATATATATATATATATATATATATATATATATATATATATATATATATATATATATATATATATATATATATATATATATATATATATATATATATATATATATATATATATATATATATATATATATATATATATATATATATATATATATATATATATATATATATATATATATATCATTTTTCTATTCTCTAAATATTTTAAAAATTGAATCAGTCATCAAATCGATAAGGATATATTACTGATTTATTGTTTAAATTATTGAGTCACTAATTTAACCACATGACTAAACTAGGTTATATCAGATAGTTTAATTGAATAAATTGGTTTATATAAAAGAATTATAGAGTTATTAAATCGGCCGAATCAAATGACTCGGTCTCTAAAAACATCATGACACCTATCAAATTTCAAAATAACGTAATTTTACAAATTCAATCTTTAAATTTAAATTTTAAACATAATCATCACACACCACAAAATAATATAAAATACAAATCAAAATAAATTTTAAACAAAGTATGATTGAGACATATATTAAATAACTAAATAAGTGCATTTCTAATAAATTTGATTCCATGGAAGAAAAATTGTCTCAAATAAGTTTTGAACAATTTTTTTTTTATATTTTTGAAAAAAATTACTAAAGCAGGGTTATTTTGTCGGAGGAAAAGAACAAGTATTGAATCTATCGATTTTTCAAAATCGTCGGTTTGTCAATTTTTATCGATTTTGGTCAGTTCTAATCGACTCTCATTGGTTTAGTAGTTTATTTGATTCATCATTTAAATCAGAACGACGATTTTTTTGATTCATAATTTAAATGGACGATCAAGTACAGTTTTTGAAACACAACCACCACCTCTTAAGTCTCTCTCGTTTTTATATTTGTTATTTTCTTATATTTAGTAGATAATTTTTATTATAAATGTATTGCTTTTTAAACAATATTATTTCTTATTTTCAATATAATTTAATTTATAATTTTTTATTATTTATATTTAACTACACTAATATATAATGTTTGAATTCAACCATGCATACACATATAAAATCTTCCATCAACGTGTAAGCCGAATCCCTTCAACCTTCCTTAAACGTTTGGAAGTATAATACACTAAAATTAATTAAATAAATAAAAATATTATTGTCTCTTTAATTTATAATTTTTTAAATACGATAAAAATAATAAGATAAATAAATTATTTAAATATAATAGTACCTCTAACTCTAAATATAAGTCTCATTATTGCAAATTATAAAATTATTTTAAAAAAAATGTCATGTATTGATAATACTAATTTAGTTTGGGAGAAAAGTAATAATAATAATAATACACAAAATAAACTTTTATATATATTGGAGTAGAGATGTCAAATTGACTTGGGTTTTCCTAACACACATTAAGAATACTAATCTTCTTTTTTAATATACATAAATTCGAAATAGACTTATAAAATAGAGATAAATGTAGTACCTAATATGAAAAAGATGGATGGATGTTTTGAATGAAAATAAAGACAAAATGGAGGTTGGTTTCTCAATTCTATCACAACATCTTGACAAATTAGATTTTTCAGACAACCTCTTAGCTCTTACTAGATTTGTATTTCAAGAAATTGGAGTTTCATACCATTTATAGAAACCAAAATTTAAAAATAAAATCCATTTTCCTTATATATTATATGGCTCAAACACGTGTCTTAAGGTAGAAGCCAACTCACCCAACCACGGCTAAACAAATCACATACTACAGAGTTATTCATCCTTCCTATATATTGTCATTGTTACTAACACACAAGAATCAATTACTCTACTCACTCACTCACTCAAGATTCCTTAACCATGATCAAAATTCCAAACCTTAAAATCCCCGAATGGAACACGACACAATACGAGGGAGGATCATTCTCAAACCGTTTCATTTCAAACGACTCACCAGACACACAAATTTCAAACCTTAAAATCCCAGAAGATTTCGACTTACCCGTTCATGTTTTCTCTTCCGACCATTTCCGAATGTTCGAATTCAAAGTGAGGAAATGCCAGCGTGGCAGGTCTCACGACTGGACGGAATGTCCTTACTCTCATCCCGGCGAGAAAGCTCGTCGGAGAGACCCTCGGAAGTTTAACTACTCCGGGACACCTTGCTCGGAGTTTCGCAGATTAGGAAACTGTACAAAAGGCGATTCATGTTACTTCGCGCATGGTGTTTTCGAATGCTGGCTTCATCCTTCTCGTTACAGGACGCAGCTTTGTAACGACGGCACCGCTTGTCGTAGGCGAGTGTGTTTCTTTGCTCACACCATTGATCAACTTCGTCTCTCGGGTAAAGGTTCACCTGAAACGTTTGTTTCTTCTCCTACTTCGGTTCTTGAGTCTCCTCCGGGATACTCCCGATACGGTGACGTTCCGGTGAACGTACGGGAATTAGTTGACTGCATGCGGGACATTAGAATAACGGATTCGGATCGGGCCGGGTGTCTGCGGGGTGGGTTTTTTAGTCTTCCGTCAAGGTATGATGGGGTTAGTATGGAGAGGGTGCAATCTGGAAGAGATCTTAGAGGCAAAATCTATGGGAAACTCAGTGAGTTGAACTTCAATGACAGTGTTGTTTCGGTTCCTGTTCCTGATTTTGGATGGGTATCGGAACTGGTTAACTGAACGTGTGATTGCTTTGTATAGATGATGCAAAAAGGAAGAAGAATGTTTGTGCATAGCTGAGGAGCATGAGATGAGACTTTGGTGTCTCTGATTTCTAATTCGTTTTCTTACATTTAGTTTTCTTCTTGTGTTAAGGATTTGTTGAAGTTTGGATATATAGCATTTGATTGTCTTCATTGTTTTTTTTTTTATAAACTTGTATTTTTGTATTTGTTTTCTGTTTTGTTGGATGTCTATATGTCAAAAGAAGAAACATGAAGAATCCTGTGTTTTTTTCTTACCAATTTGTCATTACAAAATTTACCAATCTTCATTCATTACCACTTGAGAAGAAACACAAAAGAGAAGGGTAAATATGTGCAAAAATGGACAATAGCTTGAATACCCACTGAAAAGGGTAAAGTCTTTATCAGAAACCAACAATCATGAAGAGTCCAAAACTCAATTTCAGACGCAACAATAGAGTAGATCTAGGTATAGAACATAGTCATGAACTTGCTTCTTTGTTTGTTTTGCGATCTCTAGATTTGCATTGCTCACATGACTTATTGGAAGAAGATGAAGAAATTGATGCATTGATGAAGAAGATGAAGAAACATATAAACTTTTTTTTTTAACCGTTTTTCCCTATCAGATCAATAGGGTTTCACTTTTCTTAACACAGTATAGCTGGACAGTCGTGTTAAGATTTTCTAAACAATTATATTATAGATAATTTCACCTAGAACTAGGACAATCCTATAATAACCGGAAATTCTTGATAATCAAATGTTTGACTTCATCACTATTTTTAAATGAACATTGAAATTAGGATAGAAGTAAAAGATTTTTCACTAAGGACTCAGGGAAAGACAATCTTAAAAATCGATAGTTGATGTTGATGAACTTGTTGAAAAGATCAAGAGTCAAAGTTTTCATATGACAAATCAAACACTCACCCCTAACATGTTTGATCATATTAGTAAAAGTCATATTTTACATTCTTTTCCTCCTTATAATTGTTAAAATTATATCAGCAACCAAACCAAACGCAAGTTTTTGTTTAATTGAACCACAAGTTAAACGCGGTAATATACGCAGTCCTCGAGATCGATATTTGGGGAAATTTCTTATCATTACTACTTAGGAAAAAATAGTACACTTTCTATTTTCCCTATCAATGAGAGTGTTTAAGAAAGTTTTACTGATTTTTCGGAAGAAGGGAGAAGGGATATTGACGATGGAGTGAGTGAATTTATAATTTTTTTAGCAATGATGAGAATATTTCTAGAAAAATGAAACGACCTGATAGGGAGAAGGCGTAAGGATTTTTACTTAATATCAAAAAAATCTCTTTTCGCAAGAAGTTACAATAAATGATAAGTGTGATTGAAGAGAAGCCAAATGTCTTATCGATCAACTTATTATTTACACAAAACACACTTTTGATTTGATAAGCCCCAAAATAAAAATCCTCACGAGAATATTTTTGAACAGGAACATTTCTAATAAGAGAGCTTAATTAAATTAAAGTATCATAACCTAGAAAACAACAATTGAAATGATACTGTGATCGGTGGAAATAGAACTGACTGTTTTTGTAAGCTGGTTCGTGAAATGTCGCGGTAAGCAAGAGTCGCCACCGTCTTTTATGTTCTCCAACATGGAAAGGACAAAAGCACAGCAAAATTCCTTATTCGAGAATGTTTCTCGGTTCGGGAGGTAGATTTATAGAAAGGGAAGGTGTTAGCACCCTTTCTATCCGTGGTTATCCACGGGCTCTTAGGTACTTGCTCTTATGTTTTCAAAATTTGTTTGCTTTTCAAGTGTGTGCGGGTTTTGAAAAAAAGTTCGTTTGAAAACTTCTAAGTAACTCTTGTATCAGTCCTCAAGAGTGTATGAAGTATTGTTTGAAAACTTTTTTGAAAGTGTAAGGTGTGAAAAGTATTTTGTTTGTTTTTTGGAAAGAGCAAGTACCCATGAGTCATCTACCTACCCTAAGGAATTAAGTTGTGTAAGAGTCCTTTAGATAGTGCTATCCCACCATTGAAAGGTAGGTAACACCATCGTTGGAGTTGTTCGGGTCAATTCGATTATCGGGACAGTGTGGTCACCGAAGCAACGGTAGGACACCTTAGAAGTAACCCTAACGTCCTAGATCCTTTTATCCGAGGCAACAGTTTCGAGGCAACTGGATCTTTAGACAAAGGGTGACCTCTAAGACGTCCTATACTTGATGACCACGTTTCGAGGCAACGAGTGAAGCGTACCCTAGGAGTGGAGTGTGCTTTGATTCTGATGGTGTTAGGGCTCGTTTTTGATAGCAATAGACTCCAGGGGATTCAGGCAAGTTGTTTGAATCCAAAAGAGGCTTTAAATTGTATTGGAAGATGGTTTTCAGTTTATGACATTTCTCTTGAAAAATGAAATTTGCTTTGGCAGTTTCTGAGTTCTCTAGGTCCTGTTGTGTCTTGTGAAGGCTTGCATGTCTGTATATGAATGAGTATCAATCAAAATAAAGGACCTTTAAGCCTTGCAATTATGTTTTGATTTTGCCATGAACACCATTAAACCACTTGCCATATTTGCTTCAAATTTGAATTTCTATGCCCATAATAGGATGTACACGAATTTGGAAGGTGCTTCATGGTGTATCAAAGCTATTCAACACAAAATATATCCCTTAATTAATTTTCTTGATTTTTATTTGAATTTTAAAGATTTAAAATGAATTAAATCAAATAAAATTAAATAAAAATGGAAAAATTAATTTTTGATCTTGAAATAAATTGTGGGACACGTGGGAAGCATGGCCAAGCTGAACCAAGTGGAAAAAGTGGGCCCTTTTTGTCAAAAATGAAGTTTCAAGGATAATTGACTTTGGCCATTTCACAAAAATTTCCCAACTTCTCCAATGCATATCTTGCTCAATTTTGAAGCTATGAACATGTTCTTGGACATTTTGGAAAGGTCTTGAAGTCCTCTAACCAATGCCTTTGGTCCCATGTCATTTTGATTTACCAATATCAAGTTATGGTCTTTGACCTAAAGTGCCTTTTTGTTGACTTTTGAAAATGACCTATAATGTTGAAATTGATAACTTTTTGTGAGAGCATTTCTTGGACTTGGAATGTGAAGATTAGTTGTAGGAAATGTCTTCCCCTTCAAGATGAGAATTGTATGGGATTTTTCTGATGAACCATGAAAAAGTTATGCCTTGGTCAAGTTACAGTTGACTTTTCAGCTGTCCAAAAATAGAAACTTTTGACACCTTGATGATTTTTGAGCCGTACTTGTGGAATCATGATCAAGACTTGATCAAATGATGATTGTGGCTTCAAAATAAGATGTTGACCAAATTTTTTGACTTTTGACTGCCAAATGACCATTTTGCCCCTACAGTTGATTGTGAAGCAAATATGGCTTTTGACTGTGCAACTTGACCTTGTGAGCCTTGAAACTTGACATGTAGGTGCTTGACAATGTATATGAGCATATGGGACTTGATTGAGCCCTTGAAAACCTCAACTTCCTTGCAAGAACCAAAACCCTAATTTGACTGGCTTTAGGAGAGTGGTTGACTGTGTAACTCCTTGAGTAGACTTTGAACCCTTGGAGGTGATGCTTGTCAAAACTTTGAAGAATATGGGAGGGAAAATTTTGGGGTACAACAGTTGCCCCTGTTCAATCTTCTTAGACCTGAGGATGTAGATTGGCTTGCGTGCCTTTCGTGATCCGAAGGTGGAAGATGATTGAACACTAAAGTGCCCAAAAATTTGCACTCACATAGTAGAGTATCAGCAGTGTGATAGCGGGAATGGGCTTACAGATGCGATTTGGAGAGATGGTGGATAGGGGGATGGGCTTATAGATGCTATCTGGAGATGTGACAGAGCCTTGTCGGGAATGGGCTTATAGATGCCATTTGGAAATGTGATGGATAGTTGTGGAGATGGGCTTATAGATGCCATCTAGGTGTCGATCGCGTAAGAGATTCCTTAGCGAGAACTTCCGTACCTGAGAAAGAAAGATAATTACCTGGCCTGTTACAGGTGTTGATCCTCACTCAGTCGCTCACAGACATGCCCTGGCTGGATACAGGTATCGAATCTGGAACTTCAAAAGGTTGATGGGTTGTCTCTACTGACAGGTTATCTCAGAAAAATCTTTAGGATTTCACTTAACCATAGGAGGTTTTGTCTTTCTTGACGAGTTGTCTCTTTGGACGGGTTGTCTTCATGGACGGGTTGTCTTCAACGACGAGTGATCTTCAATGACGAGTCGTCTTCAATGACGAGTTGTCTTCAATGACGAGTTGTCTTCAATGACGAGTTGACTTCAATGAAGAGTTGTCTTCAATGACGGGATGTCTTCAATGATGGGATGTCTTCAATGACGGTTGTCTATACTGACGGGTTGTCTTCAATGACGAGTCGTCTTCAATGACGAGTTGTCTTCAATGACGAGTTGTCTTCAATGACGAGTTGTCTTCAATGACGGGATGTCTTCAATGACGGGATGTCTTCAATGACGGGTGTCTATACTGACGGGTTATCTTCAATGATGAGTCGTCTTTAATGACGAGTTGTCTTAAATGACGAGTTGTCTTCAATGACGAGTTGTCTTCAATAACGAGTTGTCTTCAATGACGGGATGTCTTCAATGATGGGATGTATTCAATGACGGGTGTCTATACTGACGAGTTGTCTTCAATGACGAGTTGTCTTTAATGACGAGTTGTCTTTAATGACGAGTTGTCTTCAATGACGGGTTGTCTTCAATGACGAGTTGTCTTCAATGACGAGTTGTCTTCAATAACGGGTAGTCTTCAACGACGAGGTGTCTTCAATGACGAGGTGTCTTCAATGACGGGTGGTCTTCAACGACGAGGTGTCTTCAATGACGAGTTTTCTTCAATGACGAGTTGTCTTTAATGATGAGTTGTCTTCAATGACGGGTTGTCTTCAATGACGAGTTGTCTTCAATGATGAGTTGTCTTCAATGACGGGTAGTCTTCAACG